AGAGGCACAACAGGACGCTGGCCTTCGGTAGTACACGCCTCAAGCACGGTCGACATTTTGACTACTGAAACCAGCTCTGAACAAGCTGGACTGTGCTGCTCCCTAGTGATATGTATATATAGAGAAAACCCGTTACGTCTATTACAGCTGTTTTATTTCCATTTGTGACCTATTTACTGACTCTCTATCTCTCTCTCGTAAAATCAAATTTACTTTGCATTATCGAAGCTAATGGAGTTGGTCAAGGTATATTTCCATGGCCCCAATGTCACCGGACTTCGCACCCTTGGTCGTTTCTTTGAGACTTCGCAGATGATGCCGTTGCCAGGGTGAACCCCTCTCCCCCCCCAATCGAATCTGAACATTTTCCGTATTGCGCATTGGCGTTCCGTAGGCAAGTGGCTTTTCTTCGGGAAGATCTGAATTCGAGGTAGACACCTTGCCAATAAGTGAGATTCGAACTCATGCTCTGAATACTGGAGGTCACATTGCCCCAGCCGGTCTGCGCTCTGTTCCACATGACTTTCCATCAGCTATGCTCGGCTCTTAGTCGCTGGTGGGATGATTGCGTCGGTGACCGTGACCAGAACACGAGAAACTCCCCAGACCGTGGACAAATGCAAGCCGGCCTAGGAAATCTAATTTTAAGCTGTTAAGACCGAATGAAATGCTTTAACCGACTTCCTTCTTAATGTGAGAGTCTGTGTTTCCCCGTGCAAACAACACGGAGGAACACGCCTTCATTTCGGAGAGTTCTGTGTTCTAGGACAGAATATGAGACGACACAACTCTTCATAAACCTCAGCGCGTTTTTCTTTCTTTCTTCTTCTTCTTATTATTCTTAGTGGGGTGAGATTGAGTACACTTGGTGCATCGCCCACTGTTTGGCCTATTGTACCAGCCCAAGATGATAGATGATGATGAGCGTGGAACAGATGGTGGGATGAGAATTGGCAGGGGAAACCAAAGTACTCGAAGAAAACCTGCCCCAGCACCACTCTGTCCATCACAAATCTCACATTACCTGACCCGGGCTCGAACCCGGGCCGCCGCTGTGGGAAGCCGGCGACTATCCGCCTGAGCTATGGTGCGGCCCTAAACTTCTGCTTGCTACCTGTTTCACGCTGCTTTCTTGCTTTGATTACTCTTCGACCCTGAAGATGGAGGTGACATGTTCTTCCGAAATATTAGTTAACTTTTAACGGACTACACTGCGTTATTTCCCATAAGATATGACTCTTCATAACCGCCGGTTTGAGAATCTAAAATTCTATTCTTTTATTTCCTTCTGCATTAAATTTCTTTTGCCTTATTTCCATTCTTCTTTCCTTCCCTTCTTTCCCCACCTCAGTAAATCAAGAAACTTCTGCCACTGTAACCAGTAACATAAACATAAAGCGAAAGCATGGCTCCATGCGAGAAATGTGTACGGTGGCTGATGTGGTATACAAGTAGACGGCATCCACGTACACGTATTTCGAGAGAACTGTTCTCGTTGACTTGCTAACCCCACGGCGAGTGTCAAATTATAAAATTCTAGAAGAGTACTAACCTCCGGGTTGTAATGCCGTGTAGTCCAGTAGAGGCCGACCGAAGTTTCGGAGGAACGTATCCGCTCCATCATCAGTGTCGACGCGAAAGCCACCTGCTTCTTGCAGGTGGCTTGCTCGGCTTACGCTTCCACCCTGATGAGCGGACGTCTACCGGGCTACACGAAGTTACAAACAGTTGTTACCGCTGTGGGAACGTCATATACAGTATAAAATCACTGGCAAATTGACGCTGGTTCGAGTTTGGGCGTATCATTGTACTCGTATATTCCATCTCTTCACAGAAAAATGGAAGTTCCAGTGAAAACATTGACAATAAGGTGCAAAGTACACAGATGAATGTCCCTATTATGTTTTATTATTATTCTTAGTAGGATGAGACTGAGTCCACTTGGTACTGCGGCCACTACTGGCCTATTGTACCAGCCCCATATGATAGATGATGGTGATTGTGGAGCAACTGGTGGAATGAAGATTGGCAGGGGAAACCGAAGTACTCGGAGAAAACCTGCCCCAGCGACACTTTGTCCATCACAAATTCCACATGACTATACCAGGTCTCGAACCCGGGCCGCAGCGGTGGGAAGCCGGCGACTAACCGCCTGAGCTATGGCTAGGGCCCTAAGCTTCTCTATGTCTGCTGTCAACCGTATGCACTTTGCGAGGTGGCGGAGACACTAGCGCCACTATATTCATGGTACCGAACTGTGTGGTACGAGCCTGGATAGCGCGATCGGTATAGCAACTGGCTACGGGCTGGACGACAGAGGAGTCGGAGTTCGAGTCCCAGTGAGGGCAAGATATTTCTTCTCTCGAAGACGTCCAGTCCGGTTCTGGGGCCCACCCAATCTCCTATCCAATAATTCCCCAGGAGTAAAGCGGCCGGGGCCTGAAGCCGACCACTCACTTCCAACCAATGCCGAGGTCAAGAATACCTGGATCTGTAAATTCACTCCCCCATACGTCTTCACGGTATAGTAATTAATTAGTTAAGCACAGGGAACGTAAGTGTGTGGCAGGAAATCTCTATAAAATATGCAACCTTTGTTGACGTCATTTTTTTTATAGAAAATTTTGTGTAGCCTTCGGTTTCATGGCAATGACTAATGAAGCATTGGAACTAAGCAAATGAAATTTGATACGGAGCTAGACCGGTAAACATACTTTACCTTGCGGAAGGAAAGTCTAGTTGGTCCAACCTCCAGTATGTCGATTTTGGTTCCAATCGCGTGTTGAAAGTGATGCACCCCCCACCGGCAGTGTAATTGCCTTATTTGCACCCCATTCAGACAGGAAAGCACAGCTACTGAGCCTACACACTTCCTTCCCATTATCAGCCCCATGTCAAAGAGCGCGATCTCTCCTTCTGACCCGTGAGAGAATGAAACAGGAAGCTGTCAGCAGGGCAGCACTCGTTTCGTATTTGTGAGGTCCCGAGTTAAAATCTTGGTTCGGAGCCGGCCATTTTAACTGAAATTTTCCATTATTTTCCCCACCCCTTGAGCAGTGCGGGGAAGTACCTCAAGTTAGGTCACGGCCGCGTCTTACTACAAATATCTGTTTACCAAATCATGATTTACACAGTGTAACACAATGCAGTAATGGCTGACAGCTACTCAAATCAGCGGCCCTTAACATAACATCCATTTGAATTACATGTATTTACAAATTGTATCAGTACATTTAAAACTGAGGGTGTTCGAGAACAGGGTGCTGAGGAGAATATCTGGACCGAAGAGAGATGAAGTGGCGGGAGGCTGGCATAATGAGGAGCTTCATAACTTGTACTCTTCGCCAAGTATAATTAGAGTGATCACGTCAAGGAGGTTGAGGTGGGAAGGGCATGTAACACGAATGGGGAAAAGAAGAATCCGTATATTTTGGCAGGGAAGCCAAAGGAAAAGGTAGACGTACGTGGGTGGATAATATTAAAATGAATCTTACAGAGATAGGATGGGGTGGTATGGACTAGATTAATCTGACTCAGGATAGGGTCCAGTGGCAGGATGTTGTGAACATCTTCGGGTTGGATATGTGAGCGACTGGTGGTGGCGACCTCTCAAGAAAAACTCAGCTCTATGGAGTTACTTTAGTTGTCAGTGAACTTTAATAATTCATATGTTTTAAACCTCATATATACATACATTGCGAAGTTTCACTTAATGCTTGGTTTCCCACTGATGAAGGTCGTCTTATGACGGATTCGGGTTAAAAAGGTAAAGTTGTAACTGTGCTTAACTAATTAAGCACTTCGCCATGAAAGTGTATGGGGGAGTCGATATATAGATCCACATTTTCTTTACTTTGGCACTAGTTGGAGGTGAGTGGTTAGCTTCACGCCCCGGCCGCTTTATCACCGGGGATAGGAGACTGGGTGGACCCCAGAGCCGGTCTGGACGACGTAGAGAAAAAAAAGTTCTTCACCCTAACGGGTCTCGAACTCCAACCACTCGGTCGTCCAGCTAACCCCCTGAAGGTCGCCTTATGACGGAAACATTTCAATGAAGTGATATAATTTGGCCAGAAAAAAAAATAAAGTATATAATTGGGTGGTGATATATAAAGTGATATTGCCAAAACAAACGGCGTCTCGAGTGGAACTAGATAAAAAGCCAGATAAGTCGTTCCCAAGGATCAGGAGGAGGTACATATCAGGGTCACAGGGACATACAGGGACAGCAGACTATTGTGTGAAGCCCACGAACTGGAAAGTCCCTGCGATGGGTCTCCTTTAAGAACTGCAGCAAGGGGAGTTTGAGACACACCTCGAGTTTACTGCGTCATGCCTCCCTGTGCTCTGGAATATCGATTTATTGGCCTTCAACAAGATCCCGTTCTGCGCCCGGGATATGGTTGCTTCCTTGTCAGTATCACTAGCATACAGTTGGTAAAAATTTAAAGAACGAATAACTCTCACATTGAAGAACTGAAGTTTACTCACGTAATCAGAAAAAAATATTGAGAATGGGGATTCCATTTGCATCCAGAAACTCTTACCCCAACCACTTAAACAGCCCTGGAAAATACGGTGTGAATTTCATAGCATCTTTGGGCGAGGTTTAGTAGGTCCACATTAGGAAGCAGAAAAGTTGCAAATTTTATGTTCATTTGTTCTAAGTACATCCGTTGCTGCATATTACACATACAGTAAATCCCATTGGATTGTATAAGCCACACCTAACCTCACTTTTAAGGCAGACAGATTTCAGGAAAGGAACTATATTTCATTGCAATGCCATATAGGAGCGGTTTCCAAATTTTAATGGCACCCCCACGTTCTTACTTTTGTGTGTATACAGAAGAGCTATTTCAATTAATATTTATAAAGATTTTACAACCGTTATACATTTTTAGAATTACACTGAATTTAACTATACATGTGCCCCTTTCTAACCAGCTCCTCGCACAGACTGAAAACCACAGCCACGAAGAATCAAAATCAACACAGCCTTTTTCATTTAATGTAGAAATTTATTTTAATTCCATTAAAATGCGCACAATCCAAAACAAAATTGTACATGTACAATCTCTATATATTATTACACGCAAGTGACGACTTTTGAAGTGACAGTGTTGTTCTTCGCGAAGCAATGATGGAGAGCTTGCATGGTATCCTGAAACAATAGAGCGTCACATGCATCAGTACTCTGCCCTTCAGAAGCCCTGCAAGATGTAACACGTGTTCTCATTAGTTACAATTTCGAATTCCCTGAAGTATACCAAGTTTCCCACCAATACAAAAGCAATATCCTCCAACTCAGCCTTCTCTTTGCCTCTACAAAAAACTTGAAATGTGATGTCATACGGTCTTATGGGCACTGCTACCAGACTACACGGCGCACTACATTTCACAGCAAACTATGGAACTACTGAAACATTCCTTCGGCACGATGATTAAGTTACACCAATGCTCGTTTAGGTAACCAGGAAATTCCACGTGAACACTGATCATGCATAAAGCTAATGTCAGCAAACATGCTGTCATACTCGTATGTTGGGTTGCATACTCGACAGGCTTACCGCTAAGAAAGTTTCTTCTATTGCTTGTCCTTGGTGCCACCGGAAGACCCCTTCGTTCCGCATGCGCAGTTGGAGCAAGTGCAGCCACTGCCGCATTTGCACCCGGAACCCTCGCATCCTGCGGGTAAACAGACGTTGAGAAACATGAAATAATTAATGCCTTATGCAAAATAAGGGCACGGCACATAACACTACTACAGCCCTAATGACAAATCATTTGAGCTTTTTTTTTTTCGTCTAAATATTTTAAAGGCCACGTTCCGGGCATTATAAACAAATGCCGAGCGGGTTGATATAGCGGTAAAGCTCAAAGACTCCTAATGGTGCTTGGTTCGAATTTCGACCGGAACACCAGAAATTCCTGAGATTCTTAATAGTTCTCCTCAGTTCCGCCAGAAAAATGCCAGGCAGTATTTTCCATTAAGCCATGACTGCTTCCTTCCAAATCCCTTCCAATTCATGCATGTTCTTATCGTTCGACGCAAAGAATCTTGTTACGGCCAGCGTCGTAAAGCAAGCAACAGAAATAAACTTATAATACAGAAGTTTTAACGCTCGCTCTGTTACAATTCTCGGTAGAAATATGAAATCAACTGAAATACACACTCACTATGTATGTAAGTGGATCGGCAAGGACCCCACTATTCGAATTAAACCTACATAACCCAAAGAAACTGATTTCCCAGCTATTCAAGTAACTGCCCGTCTTTTTATGGAACGTGGATGTTCATTACCGTGTTCACAACAGCCACACGAACCCAGTCCCATTCACATCCTATTCATTTGAGATACTGTATCAGATTTGGGGTCCTCGAAGCCTAACTATGAACGATACTCCTGTATTCTGGAAGGTAATGCCGTGTAGTTTGGTAAATCGTAGTAAATAGGAGTAACTTGCTGCCTCAGTCTTCACCTGAATACCAGACTAAACCGCGCCACATACCAAAGGACACCATCCTACATTTAATAACTATCCTACCATCTACGTCTAGGTCTCCCAAATGATCTCTTTCCCTCAGGTTTTCGAAGTAATATTACGTATGCATTTATAAATTCTAACATTCGTGCTACTTGCGTGTTTTTGGTAATACAAATCTCCGTGTTATACACAAATTTTAGAAACATAACCTCAAACACGTCACTTCTTCTCTCCCCCCCCCTCATACTGTACTTGCAGAATGTTGAACCGTTAGTATCGACGTTCATCGAAATAATATGTAAGAATTCAGTTCCTACATCACAGAAAACACACTATTCCTTCATTAGAAAGATTAGACGGTTAATGCTGTAGTTATTGTGAGAATCATATAACTCATGAACCTGCACTGTGTGTTAGAAAGATTAGACGGTTAATGCTGTAGTTATTGTGAGAATCATATAACTCATGAACCTGCACTGTGTGGGCAAGACGCTGAGTTCCTTAATTTTACAGTAGGTGGTACACATACTTTCCACCAGCGTAACAGAGAATCAATATTACTTCATGACAAACAGCGAAGCTTACATCAGTGGTAAGAACAGAGAGTGCCGTGTAACTCACCCTTTCCGCTTCCACAGCAGGGGTCTGGCATCTTGAGCGTTGTTCTTCTGTGTCTGCAGCGAGCTGTAGCACCAGTGAGCACAGCTGTCCCCTTTTATGCGACGGTTCCGCACGACCTGACCTGACTGCTGTCGTGACGTTGCTGACGCGACCTGCGCCGTGTGCAGTAGGCCGTAATGGCAACTTGTAAGTACAATGCCGTTACGTCATCCTACGTGCCCCCTTTCGTCACGGAATGAAACAAATGACAAATATTCCATTGACACTGTAAAGGACAGTGTTTACTACACGTACCACTGGGCGCGCTTTCCCTTCACGGTGTATTTACATGTATCGTATGATTTCTCACAGTAAATGGTGATTGTTTCCCTATGTAATGGAGGTGCAGTGTGCTTTGTGTGATGGAGGAACTGAATTATTAAATATTTTGATACCTCCACCGTAGCCCTGCAAGTCGCAGGAGGCGACGAAACGGGAATCCAGCGCCTGGGGGTGTAACTGGGGCACCATGTTCCTGGGAATATAAATGCGTGGACCTGGCCCCAGCGGGACTCGAACCCGAGAATGACGGCGCTGGTAAGGGCCAGCAGCGGTCATAAGGACTATAACCGCAAGTGTTCAGTTGGAAAATACGGGTAAAATTACTGGTCGTGAGTCTCGAGGGATTGTCGCCAAGACGAACTGATTGGCGGTAAACCGCCAGTCGTAAATAACTCTGATTCTGACTCTGACTCTGCGTCAAATGACTGAACCCTTCAGAGCATAGCGGTAACTATATGTACCACCAGATTTAACATTTAAATTTCGATTCTGCCCACACACCGTGTGTTTCTATACATCCAATTCTCCATACGTCTTCATGGCATAGTACTTAATTAGTTAAGCACAGGGACAACTTTACCTTAACATGATTCTCACAATAAACAGCGACTGTTTCCCTGAACATCAGTAACCGGCTGGGCTCTGTAATGGAGACGTAATGTGTTTCCTGTGTGGTTCGCATTGGATTCTTGCATATTTATATACTTTCGAGGCTTGAAAGACGTAAAACTGAATTCCTATTGAATTCGTCAGTTGCTACGGAGAATGTACTTTACGAGATGATTATTTTGTGTATAAAAAGCAAAATGTTCTTTTGCAGATAAGAGCGAAGGTAATACGTGTAATGTTTTAATATTGCCTTAGAATAAGAGCGACCTTGTGATCTTAAGTAATATATTGATCGCTTAAAATATTATAGCGCTGTTAATTGGGAACATAAACAACAAAATTACGAGGGAGAGTCATTAAATAGGTCACAAATGGAAGCAGTCCAGCTTCATGACAGTATAGGTAGCATATTAATAGCATATTCCTAGAGCTAAGTTAAAGAGATATATTAAAAAATAACGGGACAACCGCTATGATAGAATACGTTGTTTATAAGACTGTGCTGCAGAGGGCCGGAAGGCTTAGGCCTTTTTATATACATTTAGATTTCAATATAAAAAAGTCTAGGTAGCAGACGCATATGCGCATATTCATAGACTGCTTTCAGTAGTAAAAATGGCTACCGTGCTTGGGTGTATATTGTACTACCGAATAGGAGAGTTCTTTTGTGCTTTTTTATGGACAAAAGACTCACTGCAAAAGATATTCATAAAGAAATGTTTCCTGTTTACGGCAGGAAGTGTTTATCGCGTAGAGTGGTTCACAACTGGGTCGATACATTCCCTCAAGGGCGTTCGAAAGTCGCAGATGATGCCCGACCAGGTGCGGAAATGGCTGGCACAGGTGTATCAATGTTGATGGAGGATATGTCGAGAAATAAATGCGGAGATTTTTTTTCCCCCCTTGGCACTACAGCCCCAGTGGGCCTAGGCCTACCTCCATGAACTTCTCCGTTCACTTCGGTTTATCTAGATCTTAGACATATGGTAGGGCTCCTTGGGCGGGTGATCAGCTCGTCGAAAGGCCTCTACCTGTACACAAACACAGAAAAACGCACACACACAAACTAAACATCCATGCCCTGAGTGGGATTCGAACCCACGATCCCGGCTTCCGAGCGAGCGAAGACAGTGCACGCCTTAGACCGCTCGGCTACCGTGACCGGCGCGGAGAAGATTACACTTGGAAAATATAAACGGGTGCACAGACGTAGATGCCGAGATAAATCTTAAATTAACTGGATGTGAGAGCTGGATTGGAGGCAGGTGACCCAGCATGGGATGTTGTGATGTTAATTTGCTGCTGGTCCTCGCCAGCACAGTGATTCTTGGTTCCGAGTTCCAAGGGACCCATGACCCAATATTCTAATGTATAAAAATCCAATTCGTACCTCACAGGAAACACATTACGTCTCCGCTACAGAGCACAACCGGTTAATGATGTTTAGGGTAACAGTCGCTGTTTATTGTGAGAACCAAACGGAACACACAAATGCACTGTGTGGGCAGAATGCAGAATTATGTAATATATACAAATCCAGTCCGTACCTCACAGGAAACACACCCATTAGGTCTCCGCTACAGAGCCCAACCGGTTAATGCTGTTAAGGGAAACACTCGGTGTTTATTGTGAGAACCATACGGAACACATGAACACACCGTGTGGGCAGAATGCAGAATTATGTAATATATACAAATCCAGTCCGTACCTCACAGGAAACACACCCATTAGGTCTCCGCTACAGAGGCCAACCGGTTAATGCTGTTTAAGGAAACACTCTGTGTTTATTGTGAGAACCATACGGAACACATGAACACACCGTGTCGGCAGAATGCAGAGTTCTGTATTATACACGAATCCAGCCCGTACCTCACAGGGAACACACGCATTACGTCTCCGCTACAGAGCCCAACAGGTTAATGCTGTTTAGGGAAACAGCTGTCCCTATGCTCAACTAATTAAGCACTACGCCATGAAGGCGTATTGAGGAGTGGATATACAGAGCCACGTTTTATTGACTTCGCACTAGTTGGAGGTGGGTATTCAGCTTCACGTCCTGGCCGCTTTACCCCCGGAAATACACTGTGTGGGAAAAGTGCATACTTCTCGTTATGTTTAAGCGGGCGGTATATTAAAAAACTATTAGCTTTCCAATTCCAGAAGGATTGTCACACATCAATGGGTCTGCCAGCCCTAGCCGCGCGTGAAGCAGGACAAGATATTGACCTCGGCCGCTCAGTTCTCAAGGCTGATTCATTTGAAACGCAATAACCGCTTTGACTTTGCTGGAAGGCGCCAAGGATCACCCAACGTAGCGTGTGCAGTGGTGGGGCGAAGTCCGAGGCTGGGAGCACAGAGGGATTAGGGCGTGAGTCACACAAGATGCTGTATTATGTTCGAGGATCCACCCCCTGTCTCCTTGTCCTCGTCTTTGGAACATACATCATATTCCTGTCATGTGACATGTATGCCGAAACATGTCCTAGACAGCAATACAACCTGCTCGATAAAACGATGTGTTAAATGTAATACATATCAGTTATAGCGATTTACATAATAGGACGCAACACAAGACGAGTATGCAGGTCGGGCAAATAAGTTCCGAAACTGGTTTCTTAAAAATTTATTTTAAGAGCTGCAGATATTTTCCAAATTAATCTCCCTCCACTTCTTTACGGCGTTTCCAGCGCTTCGGCCACTGTTCCAAACAGTTCTTAAAATCCCGGACAGGAATGTGTGTCATTTTTTAACAGATGATGTAATGTCCTCAAGTCCGAGAAACGCTTTGGTTTCAGTACACTTGAGTTTTGGAAACAGCCAGAAGTCAGCTGGAGCCAAGGCAGGAGAGACTGGCGGATGGTCCATGGCAGAGATGCCTTTTCCTCCTAAAAACTGCGACACTTGAAGAATGTTTCGGCGCGTTGCCGTTGTGAAGAACCAATGAGCGGTCTCTCCACACTCCACGCTTGCGCCTCACGGCACCAGTACAACATGCCCACGCGGTATGTCTGATTAACAGCAGATTAACATTGTTTTGATATTGGACTTTGACATCCGCGACTTCATTGGCCTGGGGCAATTCTTCCATCTCCCTCTCCATGGACCGGAGTTTGGCCCGTTGGCGACTTCTGCAGTTTAACCCTGTCAGCCTTTATTGAGACAGATCGCAACATGGCATACAGAAATACGGTCCGATCCGCGGAGCATGCGCTCGTCATATGTCTGTCTTTTTTCAGCAATTCCAAAATCAGTATGATGGTACTATATATGGGGCCTCGCGCGCCCCTTCGGCCCCTTCACCCCTCCTCGCCTTACTGGCCAACGAGAGGCTGTTGCATTCGTAGTCAATAAGTTAGTGACGTTCTTTTGACACCCTTGATAACTAAAACTGGTGCCACGTAGTCGACAGCAGTGGCGGTGATGGGCGGACAGCAGTGGCGGTGACGGTCTTGCTAGCAGTGGGCCAGGCGACATACCACCAGAACTGGACAATGAAGGTAAAGGTAAAATTGTCATATTTCGATCCGGATTAAATAACCGACTAGCGATGGTTTTTATTGTTGTTATTATTAGTGGGGTGGGACTAAGTCCCTTGTACTGCGGCCACTTCTGGCCTATTGTACCAGCCCCAGATGATAGGTGAGGGTGATTGTGGAGCAATTGGTGGAATGAAGATTGGCAGGGGAAACCGAAGTACTCGGAGAAAACCTGCCCCAATGCCATTTTGTCCACCAGAAATCCCGCATGATCTGACCTGGGATCGAAACAGGGCCGCCGTGGTGGGAAGCCGGCGACTAACCGCTTGCGCCATGGCACGGCCATATTTTAGACAAAGTTCCTGCAACATTGGTACTGTCGGTAAAACAGACGAATATGCGTCACGCAGTTCTATTCCCCATATTTCCGAATCTGAGGAACTGAGCCTGCCAGCAAATCAGTTCAGAGCTTTATCAGTAAGGTACTCGCTTGGTGTTCGTCCTGTGAGTGGGTACAGACACGTTTTATTGCTCTAACTTCCAGGAACCTGCTTCAAGCGGATATGACTCATTTAAACTCAACACATGTTTGAAAATCACTAAATCATCAGAAATAAAACGAATCGGTTACGTCGATTCAAAGCAGTGTTTTATGATTCATTTTTACGGATTTTCTTAACGAAAGAGGCCACGCGGTGTTCGGGCCAATAGT